GAAAAGAGAGGAATGTTGGGGGGAAGGGATTTCACAAAAGAAAGATCTTCAGAAATTGTTTGCTGAGTCCTTAATCGCTGTTTCCAAAAAGAAGTAGTATGTGTTAATTCTTTTATTATGGGGGCCCTTCCCAAACCTCCTCTTTAGACAATGCCATTTTACAAGGAAAACTCTTGTACGTGCCATGCACAAGTAATTACTGGTCTGGGATGTATTTGTTTTTTTAAGTGACTGTGGGTAAAAAATTGAGGATAAAAAGAAGAGATTAACCTTTGAAGTTCTGCCCTAGGTGGAAAAATAAAACAAAACCAGGTGTAAGGGAAACCACGGATTTAGATGAGAAAGAACCAAGACACAATTTTCCGTACATTTTTCTCATGAAAGTATAAGTATTCCTTATAGAAATACTTTCCCTAAGGAGAGGTTGTTCAGAGGATCTAATTAGACTGGGTATGTCAAAGTGTATTGAAACAAATAAACCATTCCTACATGTGGTAGGTATTATAAGGAAAATACATGTTACTGCAGTATTGCTTTCTACATACTCAATCTTCACTTTAAAGACAATGCTACTGACCTACCGTTACTCAGGAATTCATGGGAGTTACTGGTTGAGATAAGTTGAAGATAAGGATCATTAAAGTAACACAGATTCACTCAGAAAATACTAGATTTCAAGGGCTTAAATCCAAACCACTGACCTCATCACTAATCATCTATGTTAATCAGCCCAGTTAGGAGTTATAACAAAAATACCACTGGATTCTCCTTTCAAACTACCTGGTGTACTAGATTACACTACTCAAAACCAGAGGATTCCACTACTTAAAATCAGAAGATTCCATCAAGTTTTCATTAGTTACAAAACAGTTATGCTTCTTGTATGAGCAATAAAAGTAACAATCTATTTCAGCACTGTATGGTGTTTACCTTTCTAGCCTTTAAAAAAAATCCCATTTTATGTTTGCTCAATATAAAAAAGAAAGAAAAATTCCATGTCAGTTGTTCAGGTTCATATAAGACCTAATTGCCTCATACACTATAATTTTGCTACCAGTTTACAATTAGCATGCATTTCTCATGCATGAGTTGACCCAATTACATAACAAATTTTGCCTTTGGGGATTTCTCTTGACTGCTTGTCTTCTGTCCACATACAACTCAATTTCACACCATCAGCAGCTTGAACATGGCCACAGTCAGTCTCTGTCAAAATGATTTATTTAAATTACAAACAGAGACCAGATCCCCAGACAATCAACTCTACCCTCATGCTCACCCTTTATACACAGTGTACCTTTGAATCAAATCTTTTAATAGTCCACAGACACTGCTATTCAATTATTAGGCCATGTTTATCTCCAATAATCTAATATTTCTGAAGCCAACTCAAAATCTTAAGGAACTAAATCAGCAGTATTCATGTAAGCTTATTAATGGGCATATAATTTATTTTGCATTCTAAGAAGTCAATGAAAAATTACATAGCTATCTCAAAAAAAAAAACTGAAAACAATTACATTTCAATATCAAATTACAGACAGACTCTTTTCTATAATGTTAAAAAAAAAAAAAAAGAGGGGATTCAACCTGAACTTTTCTTGTAAAGCAAGTAAGCATTTCTGGGTATGCTAAATGTGAAAATAGTAATGAAAGGGGATATTTGGGAAACAGGACAGATAACCATAATGATAGATGCTACAGGTAAGGGACTAAATAGAGAACAGGTGAAAATTCTATTGTCTATGTGCCAGTGATCTAAGGAAAGGGAGTTCTAAAGATTCCCACTGAAGCCAACATACATAGGTACACTTACACATGCACTCATGTGCACACACACACAACACACACACATATGGAATATTTCTTCTGTGAGTCAAGGCACAAATCTTGACAAATCACATAATGGTATACTTACCATTTTAGTCACTCTGTAAAATATAAGATTTGTCATCTGGGTCTTTTTTTTCCTTCCCCTTCTCCACCACCTGAAATAAATTAGAAAATAAACATCTCGATTTTATCTACAGCACAAAGATTGTCACAGTCTCTAGGGGTTGAACTTCATCATTTTATTTCACAATTTATCCCCAGACTGTCTCAGCTAATTGAAAATGCAGTTTATATTAGTGTGTAAACAGAAAAATACATCAATACTCTTCTCTAGGCTGGACTGAGTCCCTTAGATGTCTGGGGGTGAGTCTGCCTTACTATCCTGCTGCAGATTTCCTGAATGCACTGCCTATAAACTTGAAGGTGGTAACCACATGAATTAGAAACTGCCTTTACAATTATGCCAGAACTATAAGGACAACAGAAGAAAGACATTTTTTTAATGTTAGAAGTTACAGGAGTTCCTCAATTCATGTTTATATGTTGTCATTTAAGAACATTTTTCTGAAATATCACTAAGTAAAGAAAATGTGAAAATGTACTAAGACATTTCTGCCATCCCTGAATTTATACTCTAGAACTGGGGAGGTGGGGTAGGCAATCAGACATCTTCTGCAATTTCATGGGAAAACCTTTTTATTTTGGGAACTAGTTCTTTTTTTCATTCCAACCACTCCATAAATTATGAAATCTTGCCTCTTTTCTTATTCTTTCTGCAGCTATACTATGAGAGAAATATAGCAGAAGAACTTTAAATTGCAGCATTTAATAAATCTCCCAGATTCAATATGCTGGCATTATAGACTCCAAAAGAAAGAAGTTAAGGCTAAACCTGCTCTCACCCTTTTCATTACACACAATTTCAAATTTACAGTTGTATTTCATCCCACACCTTGGTAACACACACAGACTAAGTAGGCATTTCCAAATGATTTCAAGCCTTTAACAAATGAATATGAGAATGTTTGAAAAAAAATTCAGAACACTAACATAGTAACAAGCAATCAAAAATGCCCACTCATCCATAACATATTATCCAAAACACCTAGGAGTTGTCATTAAACCCACCGTATTATGTCTTTATACTTTCCTTAGTCCAAAAGGGATTAAAGGCAATTCAAAAAGATCTGGACAATATTCAAAGATAAACTAAAAACAAGTAAGAAAATGAAGCAAATGGAAAAATAAAGATTACAAAGACCCTGACTTAGTTAACATACCTACATCAACCTATTTTAAACCCAGAGCTCAAATCTCATATCCCTTGTGATTTTCAGGATAAACCCATTCTATCCCAGCATCAGGAGAAGACTCTGGTGTCTCGATCTGACCTTCTTCCTCCCAAAACAGACACAATCTAGGCCATGGTCAAAAACATCTGTCTGGGTTTGGCCAATATATTTCAGTGGTTTGGGTTTATCTGAAAGTAATGCAGAAAACTGGACTAATCAAAATACCACTTTTCAGATTAGCCCATGTTTCTTACAGAAAAAAAGATCCTTGAGTAATATGGAAAACCTGGGAGGTCACAGGAAAAGTTCATGAAGTTGTAGCCTTATAAATGAATAATAAACTCACTAGACCTCAGAATATTTAACAGCTTCTTTTCTCCAACAGTAAATCCCTAACTTCTTGTGCACTGTTGGTGGGATTGTAAATTGGTGCAGCCACTATGAAAAACAGCATAGCAGTTCCTCAAAAAATTAAAAATAGAACTACCATATTATCCAACAAATCCACTTCTGGGAATGTATCCAAAGGAAACAAAAACACGAACTCAAAAAGATATCTGCATTCTCATACTCATTGCAGCATTATTCACAATAGCCAAGACAAGGAAACAACCTAAGTATCCATCAATGGATAAATGGATAAAGGTATTTCAAGATATATGTAAGTATGTATGCATGCATGCACACACAAAGAAATACTATTCAACCATCAAAAGGAGAAAATCCTACCATTTTTAACAATATTGATGGACCTAGAAGGCATTATGCTAAGTGAAATAAGTCAGATAGACTTATTGACAAATACTATATGATCTCACTTATATGTGTTACCTAAAAAAAAAGAAGAAACAAAAAACCCACACCAAACTTACAGGAAAAAAAGGTCAGTTTTGTGGTTACCAGAGGGATGGAGAGAGGGAAAACTGAAAGAATGTGGTCAAAAGATACAATCTTCCAGTTATAAGATAAATCAGTATTAGATATGTAATTTACAACATGATGATTGTAGTTGACACAGCTGTATATTATACAAGAAAGTTGTTAAGAAAGTAGACCCCAAGGATTCTCATCGCAAGGAGAATTCTTTCTTCTTTTCTTTTTATTGCATCTGTTTGAGATGATGATGTTGACTAAACCTACTGTGGTAAACACCTTACGATACAGGTAAGTCAAACCATCATGCGGTACAGCTTAAACTTATACAGTGATATATGTTAATTATTTCTCAAAAAAACTAAAGAAAAAATAATAAATCCCTAACAGTAATATTATGAAATTTATATTTTCTTACTGCTACCCAAATAGTAATATGCCTCATCATGGCTAAAAGAACTACTTATAAGACTGCTATGGTTGCTAACATCGAGACTGTTGTATGTGTGTGTGTTAGCTGCTCAGTCACGTCCGCCTCTTTGCAAACCCATGGATTGTATCCCACCAGACTCCTCTGTCCATGGGATTCTCCAGGCAAGATTATTGGAGTGGGTTGCCATTTCCTTCTCCAAGACTACTGCATAAATTTGTTTTAAAAGATGTTATCTAAATTATATACTTTTTAAAATCACCACCGTCTACCTTATAGGTAAAAATTAGATTAAGATGTCTTAATCTAAACAGTATTTTGTATATACTGCTATGTATATAATAAACATAAATTTATACATACCTGTATTATAAGGGTTTTGCATAATTAAGAATGGATCTGCAAACAGCCTCTGGTATTGAATAAAATGTATATTCCTGCTAAGGATAAAGGTTGGTGAAATGATCAGTTCTTTTCTTATTAAATGTGAATAATGACTTAATTTGAATATAAATTAAAAGGCTTACCTTTGAATCAACTGCAATCCTTATGTGAGCTGTCACAGGGATGTCTTAAGTAGAAATGTTTAGTTCTTTTTGAAATAAATTTGTGATAGTTGAAGATTTATGATGTAACTTTGTTTTATGCAACACTTTTTATTTTTTAAAAAAAGGTTCTCCAAAGATAATCCAAAATCAGACACATCACTGAATGTAACTGCCAGTGAAACATATCTCTAATTTGCATTTTAGAAAACAAAAATAGGGTTCTGGCTTAAGGAAAGAATGAAGGGGGAGGAAGACGATAGAGGCAATCTTCAGTATTCGCGGTCGGTGGGTTTTAAGGATGGGGTGGAAAACACTAAGGGACAGAAGCCTTGGATCCTTAAAATTCAACTCTTTCTCTTCAAAGGAAAAAGTCCTTGCTGAAATAAAACCCCCATTTAAAGAGCAAACAATGGATAAACCTTAGGGAATATGGCAAAACAAAGTCTCTCTGTCTCTTACTCCCTAAACAAATTTTTTAAATATCAGATAATTCTGTTTTTTGAGCTCTTGACAAAATTTATTCTCAGACTATATGCTATGATTTTATCTGCAAATTGTGACTGTATGTAGGTACATAACGAAGGCAGCCAAATACCAGTGAGTTTAAAACAACCTGCCAGCTAAACATTTCCCAGAAATCAATGCTACATAACTTAAAATTTTAGACACATAGATTTTGGTGACTGTACATGAAACACACGAAGCAGACTTCTTGTGAAAAAGTATATGTCTTGCATATTTGTTTATACTTTTATATAATATAAATGGTTGCTGATTTTCATTCGTATTTCCCCTGGAGTACTTAACATTGAATTAACTTATTTCTAGAAAAAATGCATTTTGACACACTTCATATAATAAAGAAACATAATTACCACTTTTAATAAGTACTCAACACTTTTTGGTTCCTAATATGTTTTGAACTTCTGCTAGTTTCAATTTTCTTTTCCAAGAAAATGCTATTACTGAACAAGATGCAGCTTTCAAATTCAAAGCAACTTCATATGTAAGTGTTTATTTCAGAAATTAGATGCAATATGCCATTTCAACAAATATCTAATTTAAAATATGAACTCTTGAATACACACATTGAGCAAACATGAGATTTCTCCAGATACCTAACCTTGTATGTATATTCTGTATGATTACTCACCACAAAAAATTAACTGATAGGCTTTAACATTTACCTATACAAGTCCTATTCTAGAAAAATTTTAAAGTTGAGAATCATTTAAAATGAAATAAGACACTGTTACAATAACATCTCTTAATAGCAATGACTGTTATTTCTAAATACACAATTAATTTATTTAATTAAATTGATTTGCTAGATAACCCAATTTACTTGATAAACCAATTAAATTAACTAAAAGTGTATTCAGAAATACACAGGCATAAATCAGAAATATTGCATGTTCGGTTCCAGATCAGTTCAATAAGGAAAATGTCACAACAAAGAGAGTCAAATTTTTTGGTTTTCTAGTGCATCTAATGGAGAAGGCAATGGCACCCCACTCCAGTACTCTTGCCTGGAAAATCCCATGGACGGAGAAGCCTGGTGGGCTGCAGTCGATGGGGTCGCTAAGAGTCGGACACGACTGAGCGACTTCACTTTCACTTTTCACTTTCATGCATTGGAGAAGGAAATGGCAACCCATTCCAGAGTTCTTGCCTGGAGAATCCCAGGGACAGGGGAGATTGGTGGGCTGCCGTCTACGGGGTTGCACAGAGTCAGACACGACTTAGCAGCAGCAGCAGTGCATCTAAAAGTTCTGTGTACACTATACTGTCATCTACTAAGTGTGCAATAGTGCAATACGTCTAAAACTATGTTGTTGTTGTTGTTTAGTTGCTAAGTCATGTTTGACTCTTTGAGACCCCCATGGACTGCAGCACACCAGACTTCCCTGTCCTTCACTATCTCCTGGAGCTTACTCAAACACATTCATCGAGTCGGTGATGCCATCCAACCACCTCATTCTCTGCCGCCCCCTTCTCCTCCTGCCCTCAATCTTTCCCAGCATCAGGGTCTTTTCCAATGAGGCGGCTCTTCACATCAGGTGGCCAAAGTGTATCTACCTTAATTAAAAAATACCTTATTGCTAAAAAATGCTAAGCATCATCTGACAATACAGGGTTGTCACAAATCTTCTAATTGTTAAAAAAAAAACATTATCTGTGAAGTGTAAAAAAAGTAAAGCACAGTAAAAGTAGGTATGCCTACAGTCACTGCTATTAATGTTAGGCTCTTGATAACAGTGATGAAATCAAAGGGAAGCAATTCAGTAGATGAACCTGGCACATTTTCTGAGGATACTGAGTATGTTGGCATCTTACAGCAATATGAACACTTCCAAGTTGTCCAATTTCACTTTCTCACCAGAAATAAAAATCAGGGTTATTACATCACTGAACAAACGGTCACCTACGTTACTGATTTGTTCCTGAGTCCTCTTGAGCCTCTGTAGTTCAGGAGTGTCTGTAACGATGCTGAAGCCCCTCCCTTTGCTTTCTTCAAAATCTCTTTTGTACTTGACCTAACAAAATTAGGAGTGAAAGAAAGAAAGAAAGAAAAAGAAAAGTAAACAAAAGAATCATAAATCCCACTCAGGATAGTCAGAGGCCATGTAAGCTGCTAAAATTGGAAGCGGCATCTCCAGGAACAGCTCTATTAGCAGGTGATACAGTGAACAGCGAGAATGCCTGGTTTGTGTCCCAGCAACCACTTTGTGGCCTTAGGTAAGTTACTCAACCACTCTGTGCCTCGGCGCCATTTTAATTCATAAAATGATGAGAATGACAAAAATAACAGCATTTAAATTTGTTGTTTAGTTGTTAAGTCACATCCAACTCTTTTGTAACCCCTTGGACTATAGCCCACACCAGACTCCTCTGTCTATGGGATTCTCCAGGCAAGAATAACGGAGTGGGCTGCCATTTCCTTTTTCAGGGGATCTTCCTGATCCAGGGATCGAACTTATGTCTCCCGCTTGGCAGGATGATTCTTTACTTCTGAGCTGCCTGGAAGCCCTAGTATTTAAATAACGCTATTTAGTAGGTTGAAAGATAATATCAAATGTCTTAGTTCACATACTGAGCCCACAGGAAACAAGCAAGTGCTTCATAATAGTTATTATTATCATCATTAACAGTTGTACTAAAACTGAAAAATAAATGTGGAAAGAGAAAGCTAAATCTTCTGGTCCCATGGCTTGTTTTCTCAGTGACAAAGCATCATTTTGAGCCTGGACTGTGCTATGGATGAGGGAGACATACAACATTATCAGAGCAGCCCTGTCCTAACAAAGTTTTCATTCTATTTCATAAGGCAAAGCATATGGGTATGATTATACAGTGCTGTACTGCCAAATGTTGAATATGTAAATGCTTATGGAAATATTTATAAAACAGGCCACACCTAGAGATTAAAAGGCTTCAAGCACATGCCCTTGGCATACTGTGTACTGAGGTACCAAAGTTTTTTTCAGTCTTTAAATATATTTCTTTCTAATTACAACCCAGTGAGGCTGAATGTTACAGTTTCCTCAGGGAACTAGAACAGCCAGTGTTTAATCTTACTAGGGTCCCATCTCCTATTATGAGCATAGTGACAATAACTGTGACACCAGTTAAATATTCTGCTTGTTAATGACTGAGATGGTTACATCACTTGAACTGTTCTTATTTCTTTAAAAGCCTAACTATCAAGAAATATGGAAACATATTTTTGATAATTCATATAATCCCCATTTTCACATTCATAATTACCAGCTTCTAATTAAAACACGTTAATAATTAATGTTTAGGGTAGCTAATAAAAATATGTTTTCTGCAAGTGTTACTTTCTGTATAAATTTGTAAAGTCTCCTTAGCTGAGCATGGAATGACCGTTTTGTTGAGTCATGTTTATTTTTAAATACTCAGTTCTCTCAGGCATTACTGTCCTTGAGGCTACTGAAATTTTCCTTTATCTGAAAAGCTTAAAAGGAAAAAAAAAAAATCCCAGATGACAATAAATAAAAAGATACACATACTCTCATCACTTTTAGTCTAAGAATATCTAATTTTCCCTCCACATTTTCATTTAAATGTCTAAAAGTACTAAAATCCTTACTTTATTTCCATAAGTAAAAGGTCAAATAAACTGCATTATTTTTCTGCTACAGAAAATGCTGAGTGAGATTAGCCTTCTAACCCTCAATCTCCCAGCATGTGTGAAGATGCACACGGGCACATTCTCAGGGTTTTGCGCCTAACTAAGCAGAGCAGCCATTTAGCTTTGCTTGAAATAAACACTAGGGCGCAGAGCAGTAAAATAATAAAAGTAAGAAAGATGGCAAAGTTACAATAAGAGCAAGGGGGGAATGACGAAGTAAGAATAAAAATCTAGAAGCCAAGTTCTAACATCCTTAACATCCATTTCAGAGAAGGCACAATCACATATTCTTTTTGTGATGAGCTTGGAAATTTGTTTGTTTTTTAATGGCAATTTCCAAAGGAAGAACTGAAAAGAAAAACCATTAAATTCCAGAATCATAGCTTTCAAGTTAATTACCATTTAAGAGCTCTTTCCACATTCACGAGACACATAAGATTCATCTGATTAGGGCTTGCCTCGTTAAGTGATTAGTTTTAAAGAATATACAATTATCTCCATAATTGATTTGCAGAGTTTTTAGATGTTTAATCCTTTTTTAATGGAGTGACCCACAACCATGCTCAGCACCAATGCAAGCACCAGTCCACGCAGTAAATCTTGACAGCTCACAGGGAGATTTTGAGCCCTTCATCAGTCCCTCTCTTTTCCATACTCCCAGCCATTTATATCCTATCTCTCTACTTAGGGCTAATTTTAAATATTACATCCGATGGTCTGCCAGGTATGCATAGTCTGATTCTGAGAGACAACTGGATACAAAAATAGCAGATGCCAGGGGCCGGGGGCAGGGGTTGCAGGGTAGGGTGTGGGGAATGGGGAGTTAACTGTGTTTAACGGGGACAGACTTTCAGTTCAGGAAGGTAAAAAATTCAGGAGATGGATGATGGTGAGAGCTGTACAACAGCGTGAATGTACTTGGCGCCACTGGGCTGTGCAGTTAAATGTGGGGAAAAGAGTATGTTTTATTCCACATTCACCACAGTAAAAAATTTTTTAATTAAAAAAAAATAGAGCTCAGAGAACAGAGAGAGGGAGAAGATTCCTCTTTTCGGTTGTAGATGTCTCCTTTGTCCTCACAAGATGACCCCATCCAACCAGTGAGTGCCTGCACTCTGCACTCAGGAATAACCCATACACATAATCCAGTGTGTGTCCAAGAATTCCAGACCTGGGACTGTGGTAGAAACTCATGGGAAAGGGCTACTCTTTCTCCATGGTCTGACTCATTTCGTTGTTGTTCAGGATTGTTGTTCAACCCCACAGACGACAGCACACCAGGTTTCCCTGTCCTTCACCATCTCCCGGAGCTTGCTCAAACTCATGTCCATTGAGTCAGTGATGCCATCCAACCATCTCATCCTCTGTCGTCCCCTTCTCCTCCTGCCTTCAGTCTTTCCCAGCATCAGGGTCTTTTCTAATGAGTCAGCTCTTCACATCAGGTGGACAAAGTATTGGAGCTTCAGCTTCAGCATTGGTCCTTCCAATAAATATTCAGGATAGATCCTTTAGGATTGACTGGTTGGATCTCCTTGCAGTCCAAGGGACTCTCAAGAGTCTTCTCCAACACCACAGTTCAAAAGCATCAATTCTTCAGCACTCGGCCTTCTTTATGGTCCAACTCTCACATCCACACATGACTATTGGAAAAACCATAGTTTTGACTAGACAGACCTTTGTTGGTAAAGTAATGTCTCTGCTTTTTAATATGCTGTCTAGGTTTGTCATAGCTTTTCTTCCAAGAAGCAAGCATCTTTTGATTTCATGACTTCAGTCACCATTTGCAGTGATTTTGGAGCCCAAGAAAATAAAGCCTCCCACTGTTTCCATTGTTTCCCCATCTATTTGCCATGAAGCAATGGGACAGGATGCCATGATCTTCACTTTTTGAATGTTGAGCTTTAAGCCAGCTTTTTCACTCTCTTCTTTCACTTTCATCAAGAGGCTCTTTAGTTCCTCTTCACTTTCTGCCATAGGGGTGGTGTCATCTGCATATCTGAGGTTATTGATATTTCTCCTGGCAATCTTGATTCCAGCTTGTGCTTCATCCAGCCCAGCATTTCACATGATGTACTCTGTTTAGTGGGCTGTAAAACTGAAGTTGCTGGCCCTAATTTGGCCACTATGCAATAATGATGAGGCCAACACAGAGGCAAGCAAAACCCCAAGAGTGATTCCCGACATCATTCAAGCACCTGAATCTAACTCTTCCTAAAGCCAGAACCACCAGGCTTACCAGATGAGTGAGCTAATATCTCTCTCTTCAATAACCAAAAGAATTCTGATTAATATGCCACCACCACCATGCCTACAAGGTATACACATGAACAATAAGGTTCCTAGAAATACTGACATGTGAATTTCTCCTTGTTTATTTCTATGCTTTGGTTCTATTTATGACACATGACTTAAAGAGTTTCTAAAAATAGGGGGATCATATCAGAGAAAGAGCCTAGACCTAACATCCCATCCCTGTCACTTAACAGCCACCTCACAGGCCTTCTAGCTTCCATGAGCCCAAATTTCCTCATTTTTAATTAGAGAGTCTGGTAATTTCTCAACTAAGAAGGCTGTAGGGACTGAATGAGATAATCACAGAGAGGAATTTTAGAAGGTATGAGGCGGTTTTTTTGTGCAAATGTCCAGTATTATCATAATACTGGTTTTACCTGACTTAAAAGGATTACCTAATATCTGTCATGAGACATCAAAAAGAACAGTTCTATAACAATCAGATAGATCATGGCTAATAAAGCCAAATGATTCATGTCAATGTATGGCAAAAACCACCACAATATTGTAAAGTAATTAGCCTCCAATTAAAATAAATAAATTTATTTTTTAAAAAAAGAATCAGCTATTAGTTTACATTTGCAAATTTTACTATTATTCTAGGATAGATACTTATTTTTTGTTGGATTTGTGTGAATGATCAGACTCCTACAAGACACCTTGGATGTGTCATCTGGTGACCACACAGGTGAAGATGAATCCTGAACCCCATCTGTGCAGGTGCTGGGTGAAAATCTGTCTCTGCCAAGAGGCATGCCACAGGCTCTGCAAACCTGTAAGAACTATGTGAAGAGGGCTCTCATAAGATCACTCAGAATTCCTTTTCATAATGCATTTATTCATTAAAGCTCAGCACCAGTGGGGATGCTCTGTGTGCTGGACGGGTCTTCCCCAGTGCTGAGTGTCACGGTTTTTCACCTCCTATTTTAGAGCAGTTATCACCCTGAACTGCAATCACGACGGAGGCACAGTCCCTGCTCTAGAACGTGTAGAACTCAGGGACAAGGGCAAACTTTTATTGAACTTTGTGATCCAAAATCGTGGCAGAGCACCTGACCTGTGCAAGTTGATTAATAAATGATAAAGAAA